TCATGATTGTGTGTTATTTTTCCCATTGGGCCTTGTTATTTCTAGCGGTGCTGCTTAGTATAACTAAAAATGCCTTCTGCATGCTGGTGTTTATACCGCTAGATATTTGTGGGACTGTATCTTCAGTTCCAACAAATCAACCTTGTTCCCACGACTTCTGTGTTATGGTACCACACATTAGCAGGGAATCCGGCCCAGAAACCGTTACCAAGTTGCTCTGTACTTGTAGTTTGGCCCATCACACAGTTATTATTCTGATCTCATCATCCAAAATTTTCCTCCCAGCCCCTTAATTATTTCAGTTGTTTGGCTGTGAAACCTACCCCAGAAACAAGTGAGCACTGCACTAAGGGGTCTCTTTCTGCTCCACAGGATCATGCCCATGTTTTTACCTAGAACGGAAACCTAGGTCCCTGCATACCAGCTCTTTGTTCTCACAGATGTTAAGAAGAATGGCCCTACTGCGTCAGACGGAAAGTACACCTAGCGCAGCATCTTCTGACATGTGGCCGAAAGTGAGTGGTTAGGGAAGGGTGTAAGAACAGTGATGCTTCTCCCAGCTTCCAGCAACCTAAAGCTCAGTAGCTTTCCAGCTTCAAGTGGTACAGTCCCTAAAGGATTTCTTATCCATAAACTTGTCCCATCACTTTTTGAAGTAATCCAAAGACTGGGCATCCACTATCTCTTGCAACAATGTATTCCACAGTTTAATTATATGTTCTGAGAAAAGTCACTTTCTTGTTATTGTTGTTTTGAACTACTACCCATTAACTTAATGCCTCTTAATTTTTCTTTATTATGAGAAACAGTGAATAATTATCCCCTATTCATCTTCTCCACACTACTCATAATATTACAGATCTTTGTCTTTTTCCTCCCCCGTTATCTCTTCCAATCTCAATGTCTTAGTCTACTCAATGTATTAAGGTTCATGGTCATTTCCTAAACAGAAGTCATTCTACACCTTTGATCATCCCTATCGGTCCTCCTCGTACATTTCTGCAGCTCTAGTTCATAGAACTCTAGTTGTGCGGTCCACAGATATAGAAAATGGCATAATGATGTTTTCTGCTTTATTCTCTAGTCCTTTCCTTATAATTCCTAACATGCAGTTTGCATTTTTGTCTGCTGTGGAAACCACAAATTGATCTTTTTCACAGAACTATAGTTTTTGTAAAATTTCATTGTTAGGTGATAGTAATGTTCTCAGAACTTATCACTGTGCATATAAAGTTCAGATCATTTTTCTGCTGATTCATCATTTTACATAACCACATTAAATTTCATCAGCCATTTTACAGTCAGTATTGTGAGATCTTTCTGCACCTATTGGCCATTGGTTTTCATTTTTACTACCTAAGTATCTGAACATCATCAGCCAACTTTATCACCATCCTTTTTCCAAGTTATTTACAAATATGCTGATCAGCACAGATCCTCATGTAATTCCAATAGTGACACATCTCTACTGAGAAAACTAACCATTTACTTCTACCTTGTTTCTTTTCTAAGTTCACATTAGCTATTGTGCTATTACAACTATGTATTGGAGGTCACCAGTGTTCCCAGAATCCCCCAAGCATAGTCTTGTAATAGTATGTTGAGCACTACAGTAACTTAACCTTTACCTCTTCTCATGGGTCAGGGATCCTCCTTTCGGTTTGCATTCCACATGACAGCCTTAGAGCTCCCACTTTGTGTGGCACTGTGAAATGCCTATGAACTTAATATTATGTCCATTATTCCCTGTTAATTTTATAATTCTAAGGAAGTAACTTGATTTCATCTCTCTCTCTCTATAAAACTCATTCTGCTTATTTCACATGAATTGCTTGCCTTGTATGACATTTGTTCCACTGTCTTACCACACGGAGAAGAGAAAGCTAAAAAATATATCCATCTTTTTAAATGTTAAGTGTATTGCCCTTTAGGCTTAAACCAAGAAAAATAAAATTGTTATGCACATCACTACTAGATTTCTTTTCCCCTGGATTATTGTTAGCAATCTTTCCTTGGCAGAGAAGTCAGAAGGAAAACATCTCACTCTGCTGCATACCTGTAACATCTCAAATGCAACTGCTATTCACAACATACATTTTGCATCAAAGTGTCAATATTAGTGCAGCAGGATAGTTTTTATATGCCAAGAAAAACCATCCTTTCAAGGTTGAAGCCAAAATCTCTTTTAATATTAATGGAGCTCATTCAGACTTTTACCAGAAATCAGGCTTTGGGCCAGTTACCCTGTCTGCATTTTCACTCTATCCTTTCACTCATCCTTTTTTAAAGTCAAAAACTTCCTTTGTAATGCAAGCTAAAATGATCAAAAGTATCTATGTGACCTAAAAGATCAGTACCCACTTCAAAATTGACAGGCAGGTGGATGTCTAACCATCACCGACTTTCAGTGAAATGGAGGAGTTTCAAACGTGTGTAAGTAGGTTAACCTTTTGAAAATGAATTACGTGGTCCTTTCAGCTCCTTTCAAAAACCACAACAGCAGGCCAAATATGATACAGCCCTAATCTCACCTCTTCATGAATGAAATCATGATTGGGGAAATAAAGTCATCAAAGCCAGTGCATCAGCCACAGCAAATAAGGTTTGCAGGACTGTTCTGTGTCACACTAGAAAACCGTACAATATTGACATCCAGTGCACATCCAGATACAGTTCTGGGGGCATACAGAGAGGTAGCCTTCCTCTTACTTTCTCTCTCCTGATTGAAAAAAGATGAACAAAAGAAAACTCACATTCAAACAAAAGAAAACTCACATTCATCTTAAATTTTGGTCAGGAATTTCAACTTCTGGTAATAAAAAAATTACTTTGTTATAATTCCAAACTGTATCTTTGTGACTAAAACCTGAAATGATAGACCGTTCAGCTCAACCACTCCCCACTGACACGACTTCATTGAGAAAGAAGTGAAGTGGAAGCTCAAAGCATACCAGAGCAAATAATCTCTGAAATCTTATAACCATTTCATTGGAACAGATTGAAAGAGAATGTTCAATCGCTTCATGGTAGAGATGCATTTTTAAAAGCATCAGAGAGAACAGAAGACAAAGAAAAAAAGAAAGAAATAAGAAATGAGATTAAAACATGTCCCATAGACCTGGGCTATAAATAATCATCATCATCATGTTCCAAAGAGCTTTAGCTGCACAATCATTAAAAGGGGAAATTGCCATAGAAATGACAACAGATGGGGAAAAAAATTAATCTTCTATGCTATGCTTCTTCATGCTATTTTAGTACTGGTTGCTTGCTATTAAAAGATGTGAATTTATTCATTCTTGGGATTCCTTTAGTGAATTAATTTAGATAAGTATCAGCATATGAGACTTTAGCCCACGAGCAAGTGGGGATTAGAGTGCACCTGAATATATCCAACATTCAGATTTCTTTCCAGGCAGTAGGACAAATTTGGTCCAATAGTGCTTTATCGGCAAGCTATGGAAGTCTAACCACCAACACATTTCTGCTAGCCTTTATTATCGTGCATTATAACAGTCACCAGTAAAACTGCAATGGTAGAATCCAAAGCCAGAATTTACAGCAACAGCACACTGATAAATAGTTCATTGAGGCTTAAAATAATTAGTGGATGTTTCAATAGTCAGGAACACAAAACTGATTCAGATGTGCTTATAAACTATAAGAAATTGTATAACTGAGATGTTAACAGAAGCCAATTGGAAGATGGAGTATTTCAGATCACTTTGCCTATAAGACAGCTTTTAAAAAGGAATTCATTATCTTAAATAGGTTTGGAATGGTGACAAGCAGCTAACCAGGAAGCCCAACATTACAGCTTTGAAACAGAAAAAACATAGATAAGAATTTTCAGGGTCTTAGTGCAAATCAGGATCATTCATCAAAGGATGCTTGTTTGCCAGCTGTTACAGCATCTATTACAAATATCCTTTGTTTTCTAGGAAAGAAGACTGTGGCCAGGCTCTACATTAGAAACTCATTTGTTGTGAATCAAGCTTTTCTCAGGCTCCACAAAGCTGATAAGATGCAGAGGAGAATAAACTCTGTATTGCTCTAGCTTGATACAGATAAAATATTCACCAAAGTAGAGGGAAAAGGCCAACAAGCACCTGTATCACACAGCCTTGGAGTACAGATAGGACAAGTGTCTGTCTGCAGCTCAGCACCTAGACTTGCTCTACCCAAACTAAGAAAGCTGGCAGGGATGCCAGTGCTCTCTTCCACCATCACTTACAGAAAGAACGGATAGAATGGGTGAACGGTTGTACTGCCAAGGGAGGAGAGTACGGAGTCTTTCCATGGACATAAAGTAAGCGTGAGGGGATAGGTGCATGAAGTGGTGCCCTCTGCTAGCAACTTTAGCACATCAACTAATAAGCAGGGCTGGAGGATCTTCCTATTCCTCTACTTATTCAACTATGCCACTTAGTCCCTTCTGTTTCATGGGATCAGTCAGAGAATATGTCATCTTTCCAAGCTTCTGATTTTTTTTTCTTCAAATGCATTTTGCCTAGACTGGAGAGGCTCATCACTTGTGTTTCAACAGCTTTCCACATTATTAATAGCTAATGTTTACTTTCCCGGAAAGAGACTACTGTAAAAAGAATCTCTGTGTTATCTTTTGTTGTCTGAAATGCCACACAGAAGCAAGAGGAGCATGACATGTCTTTTACTCCCAACATGTGGTGAGACAATCTTTGGCAATGGCAGGCAAAAAGAAGAAGGAAAAGTATGCTACATTAGATTGTGCGGACAAAGAGTTAGCTCTTTATTGTCCTTATTTGAAAACGGCATATTGTCAGTGTTTTGGCCCATAAGCTCTTCCACCTGCTCTCCTTCGGAGTATCATAAAGGGACAGCACTGTGGGTGCGAAGACAGGGAAATGTGTTTTCTCTACATCTAGCAAGGTAGCATGAGCAAGTGGACACAGGGCCCTCGAAGGGATGGACATGCCCGTGCCTCCATGTTTTTATCACACAGTGAAGTGAATGATACTGACCTCCTTTCCAAAGGGCTTTGAGTTCTGCCAACAAGTGCATTATAGAACTGGGGAGCTGAGTGTGAAAGTCGCCAAACTTGTCTGTGTCATTGCCATCAGTAATGTCAAGCAATAGGACAGCCTATGAAAAAGAAAAAGAAAAAAAAGTTGATGCTTCTTTGTGCATCCTACCTAGCAACAGAAGCAATGACTTTGCTGCCTGTTTGCAGAACCCAAAACGGTACTAAAACAGTTTTCGTTTGTCTTTTCTTTTTTTCTTTTTTTTCCTCGTTTGACAAACAGGTCATAAACACACATTAGCATTGGTTAAACTCAGAAACAACGTCTGTGGGCATACGGAAGGAATGACACGAATAATTTGTAGGTGGTATCCGTCGGTTCGCAACTTTCTCCACTTCTACTCCCCATTTGGCAAGATGGAAACTACGATAGACAGATATAAGTAACCAATCCAAGCAGAGATAGTAGATGGAAACTCATCTACTTGCAATCTCTCATCTGCTTGCAATTTTCTTCCGCGTGGCAAGCTAAAAAATCTTCAATTATGACCTTAGAAACTTCGTATTCAGCAGCTAGACTCTCTGACTATGACACATGCTATTAAAAATGAGTAGGTATATTCTGAATCTCAATCTCCGCAAATGACACCTATTCAGTTCAGTGATATTCATGACCTCTATCTGTTGCTTGTCAGCATGTAGACGGATGAAGTTTTACTTGCAGTAACATTTGGAGGAAGCTTATATTATTGCCAACGTGTGTGCTTGCACATAAGTCTGCATGTTCACATGAGGACACATATTTGCAAGACAATCTGTTATAGTTTTCCCAGAAAGAGAAGAGAAGTAACGTAAAGTAATTTCAATGACCAATCGCACCGCTTGAAGAGCATGCAGGAAATACCATTCACGCACAAGCAATCCACAGTAGAAAATACATTAGCTCTCAGAAGTTCAAAGACACAGTGCTGGCCAGTAGAGAACCCTAGTGCCACATATGCAATAGCTTGTTATTACTGCAATGACAGGGAGAGGTAACCAAGGCAGATAGTGAAGGGAGTGAGACAGATTGACAGAATAATTTTTTACAGAGGAAGAGCAAAAGCTATGGAGAGTGTAAGATTAGAGAGAAAAAATCACATGCATCCCTGTGCATGCATCTTCACTAGCAAGGATTCAACATGCCAGCCTTTACATTTAAACACCTACATTTCTATTGACTAAAGGAAAGACATGTTTCTGTTCACTGTGTTGCAATATCGGTTGCTTTCTTTGGCTGTGTCAAGACCTACAAGATCTAAAGCAATATAAATGTGATGCAGATGAGGCATAAGTGTGTGACTACATTTCTGCCAACTTAGCCAAAGCACACACTGACTGAGCCAGCATGCCCCATGAGCAAGCCATCTGATATCCATCTTCTGTGCTTCCCACCCTCCATTCATTTTCAGTGCAGGATATTCTGACCATCATGACGATATTGATGGGTGGCTTTCTACTTTTTGTGAGGTGAACTACCACTTCAGGAGAAACGGTGTACCACTATGGAGATGCTGTTCACATCTTAACGTAGAAAAGACACCAGACCTACCACATCCAGTGCCCCAGCTCATACTGGGTGAGAGTTACAGAGCTGGGCAAATGCCACTGCTGTGCTCTTACGTGGGTGCTCTCGCGCTGGGCTGTGCTCTTGCATGGACGCTGGGGCTGCCTGGGGTGACCCCGGCTGATTGATTGGCAGCGGCATGCTGTAGTTCAATGTGCATGAGTCACGGTATTGAGATGGTTTGACAGCCAGAAAAGAAAGATTAAAATCCAATGACCATCTCTTCATCTCTTTCACGAGATGAAAGACAGAGTACCTGGGGCTTATATAAGGACGACAGCATCTGGAGTAAATCCAGAGACTGTGGCCTTGGAGCACTGAGATTGGAAATGGGGACAGAAAAATATTGGCAATAAATCTCCTGGATTTTGTATACGAGATCTACTCTGTGAAAGGGGCAGACACAGGCTATCCAGTCTAGCCAGAAACTTTCAAAACTAATAACTCCCCTTCAAAATTTTTTGAAAACCATAAGCTGGCTTTGTCCTGACTTAACACTTTTTTCTTTTATCGACAGATTTTTTGATCTGGTATGAAATGCCCCCAGGCCAGATTGGCACAATATACAGGGGCCAGCGAGCAGAGAAACATCTCAGAACATAAGGCCTATACGGCCTCTTATATGCCTGCCAGAGCACCAGAGCAGGTAGAGAAGCCTGGGTGTCCCATGGCAAGGTAGAAAGCCTCACCATCCCACAAAAATCTGAAGAAAGGGTTAACGTGATCTGACTGCTGGTTAGGAACAGAAGGATTTCTACTCCTGGGAAGGATGTGTTTAAGATACACTAGGGTGTTATGCATAACCAATAGAAATGGAGTCATCTGCCATCATGGTGAAGGATGATGTGAGGGTACATGAGTGTAATAAGAAATCATATTTTGTTCCATTTCTCCAGTCCATTATTTTATATTCCTACAGTCTCATGAATCTGAAATAGGTCAAGTAATGACACTTATCAGGGGTTAGCCATGCAAAGTCACCAACAGCTACCAAAGAACCAGGCTATGATAGCCTAAACTAGCAGGAAATACAGTCATTCAATAATTTCATTCAGCAAAGACCAGATGAGACAAAGCATCCTCTAGTAAAAGTCCTAACGAAAACCTCTCCCTCTCCACTGGCCCACTTCAGAAGGCCAAGTTAAGAAAGAAATCAGTATGTTCATTTTCATTAGGGCTCTGCATTAGACCTTCCATACACAAAGTGGCATTTTTGGCTTGATATGACAGCCAATTGGGACATAGCCTCACTTCCTGGAACTCAGCAAGTACAGAAGATTGTACAGTGAACTTATCAGTTAACACACAGTTTCCAAATTTCTGTCTTTCTGATGCTTCCATCTCTTTCTTAGGAACTTTTTATTCATGACGGTATTTCTCCTCCTAGACCAAGAGAGACCATCACCAGGATTCTCTGAACTACCAAAAAAAAAAAAAAATATATATATATATATATATAGTACTCCTATTTTGAATAGACAGCAGATTAGACAAGTTTTATTTTCCTTTATACATAGTATCTTTTATATCATATTTTAAGTTTTTTTTTAGTCTCCTTCTTCTTACACTTTCAACCAACTTACCTTGTGCTAAAGGAAGGCAAGATCATGGTCTATAAATCGCAAAATCATCGCTAGTGCATTTTTAAAACATAAGTCTGGCATTTGCTATCCATCAGTGCTGCACAGTAAGAGCCGATTTAAAAGCGAAGAAATTTTATTCATACTAAAAGGAAAAATAATATAAAGGAAATTTAACCTGACTTTCTTTATTTTTCAGATGTGGTCACTCTCTATTTAATCTGAGAACTAAATAGGGCATTTATACCAGGGTTTTCTTTCACTCAGTTTACCCAACCACCTATATATTATAATAAATTATATTAAAAAACTTTGGAGTCCAGGCATTTGAAATGCTCTTTCTTCAGGGGTTGCAATTGTAAGTTCAGCATAAACTGCTTTTTCTTTCTTTTTTGCTTCTTATTTTCCATTTAGGTGGATGGTGTATTCTAAGGTTTATTCTATGTTTAAATGTGTTTTTGTAGTTCAAACATTTCTGTTTTATTTTAGGCATAGAAAAAAAATCTCCTAAAAGGTAGTCTGACACAAGCACACTATAAATTTTGTATTTAATGTGTTTTTTTCTTTAAATTCCCTCACCCATTACTCGATAGTTCTTCCTCTGCTTTTTTCTTTGTCCTCTCTGTGCTGCCTTTTCACTCTCTCTCCTAAGCGAAACATTAGTAATATAGGTGCAATGTCTGAGGCAGAGTCAAAGCCATGCTGTCTGAGGGGGCTTGAAGCTGAGCAAAATGAGTATGCAAAAACAGACAACAGAAATAGCACCTTCCCACCTAACAGACCATCTTCCTATAGGTACTCAGTCGTAGCTGCACAATTTAACCACTGCATATTGGGTTTTAATGCTTTTCACTCCTTGTCTCACTGACAAGCCAGCACATTAAGAGAGGAAAAAAAAAAAGAGGATTCTCCTCTTCCCTACAGATTTCCCCGGAGTTGTGTGCCAAGCCCCAGTAACACCTGTGCTGTGAATGAAAGGGTTTGCACAGGTATCCTCAAGGGTGTTCTTGGGGTTCATTTGGTAAAGGAGTGGAAAGGAAAGAAGCCACTGCAACACACATCACAGGCTGGCAGTGGAGGGTAGCACCTGGAACAAAGAGAGGACGTTTGCTTATAAACTGAGAACATTTTAGAAACGGATACAGAAATCACCGAGAAAGAGCAATTACATTAAAGACAATGTATTCCTGCAACTGCTTTAATATTTCTTAACATGCATCCTTCAGCACTTGGCTGGTTTGTAAAACAGTGTTCTGTACTCTAGCTTTTCTTAATTTTTTTAGCCTAAATTCCAGCAGATGCAATACTGAGATAACTCCTACAAATACAGTAGCACCATGTGTTGTCAACCTCTATTAACTTTTTGCTCATTACCAAATTACAACAAAATCTAATACATAAGCAGAGGACTCAAAAATCATTCTGTTCCTACAGGTTACACGAAAAGACGTAACCACATAGAGGAAAGCGTCCTGCAAGAAAAAAACAGCTTAAAGTAGAAGCTCCGGTACTGCTGGACCCCAGAGAAGCTATGCAAAATAAAGCAAAGTTTCTGCTGTAGGCAAAGTTTCACAGACTTTACCTCACCCATGAGACAGACATTGCCACAGACTCATGGTCACAAAAGTGCTTGCTATTCCCTCACAAACATTGGCATCACTTCCCAGCATGAAAAATGTTAATATTATAAAATAGACAAATAGCTTCAAAACAGGGCTAGTTTGCTCGTCTTAATTATACGACCAAATTCGTTTCTGAGCTGCTGGGAAGAACTCCGTCTACCTTAGCTTTGCAGACAGTGCAAGGAAAAAATCTCACCAAGTAGTGGCAGAGAAAAAGAGAACTCTAAGTGTAGGGTCTGTTACACAGCAGTGTAGCATACCTGTGGTTAGGCTGCTCTGAGAAAACTGCATTCCACTGCTTGCATATCTTTACA